AATAACAGTGGATTAATCTACGTACTTTCAGCTTCAAACTGAATGCTTGATCAAGACGTAACTTGTCCATAGAACGTTGGAAGAGCTATTCAAAGTGAACTAAACGGGGTACGCATGGCGAGATACAGTGTCAACCGTTGCAAACAATTGACATTTTAACAATGTTCTTGTACTTACTGGTTCCCGCCTGCCAGAGAGTACTAATCTGCATTCTTTGAACTTCGAATGTAATCCATGACGAGGAAAACTGATGCTCGTTTAGCAGTGTAAATCTGATCGAAACCTACTGCAATCACATAACCACTAAACAGGCAACACTTTTCTTCGTCATGCATTACATTTGAAGTTTAAAGAATGTAGATTAGTACCCTATAACGGCTGATTCGTCTTGACTAAGCACTCAACTTGTAGCTGCAAGAACGTAGATTAATCTCCTGTCAGTGGCAATAACAATAAACGACCAGAACACTGTTAAAATCGTATTTAGTTGCAACGATTGACACTCTATCTCGTCATGCGTACCCCGTTCAGTTCACTTTGAACATCTCTTACAACGTTACACGGACAGCTTTCGTTTAGCTGAAGCACTTAACTTGTAGCTGAAAGTACGTAGATTAATCCACTGTTATTGATAATAACAATAAGCCACCAGAACACTGTTAAAATCACATTTAATCGCGGAATACCACTACTTTTTTTACCGGTGGCGCCATCCGTGGCGAATCGCTGAAACTGTTAGTCAATTATATGGTTAGCAGTTTCAGCGATTCGCCACGGGTGGCGCCACCCGTCAAAAAAGTAGTGGTATTCCGCGATTAAATGCGATTTTAACAGTGTTCTGGTCGTTTATTGTTATTATCAATATCAGTGGATTAATCTACGTACTTTCAGCTACAAATCGAGTGCTTCAGCTAAACGAAATCTGTCCGTATAACGGTGTAACAGCTGTCCAAAGTGAACTAACCGGGGTATGCATGACGAGATACAGTGTCAACCGTTGCAAATAAATGTGATTTTAACAATGTTCTTGTAATTACTGGTACCCAGCCGCTAGAATGTACTAATGTACGTTCTTTAAACTTCCAATCTAATGCATGACGAGGAAAAATGATGCCCGTCCAGCGGTGTAAATGCGATCGAATTAGGGTTGCCGCTCCATGAGGTAGCTGCGGTATTTCAGGCGTAATTAATTTGACTAATTCTGGGGTTTTGCAGTATTGGGTTGATGCATTAATTCCTCAGGAGTAATTTGAGATTAACAGCGTTCATTTTCAGCGCCTAATTACTGAGATATTCGTATTTTTGTATCACTAGGAATTTTCACTCACCTGTCGGTATGATTTGGCTAGCAGTTTGATCGAATGGCCACGGGTGGCGCCACCGGTCCAAAAAATAGTGGTACTCCGCGATTAAATGCGATTTTAACAGTGTTCTGGTCGTTTATTGTTATTAACAATTACAGTGGATTAATCTACGTACTTTCAGCTACAAATCGAGTGCTTTATCTAAACGAAATCTGTCCGTATAACGGTGTAAGAGCTGTCCAAAGTGAACTAACCGGGGTACGCATGACGAGATACAGTGTCAACCGTTGCAAATAAATGTGATTTTAATAATGTTTTTGTAATTACTGGTTCCTAGCCGTTAGAGAGTATTATTCTACGTTCTTTAAACTTCGAATTTAATACGTGACGAAGTAAAATAATGCCCGTTCTCACAAGTAGTACTAGTTTCTAACTGCGTTTATGAAAATATAAATTCCAAAATCTTCTCGCGCCACACGTCTAGGGCAGTTCTGTCCTGAACTTACCCACAGAACGTAATTAAAATCATTTAAATAAAATAATTAATATTTCATATTTCTCATAAATACTAAGGCGGGGTTGTTGTTTAATAATTTATGGTAAAATACAAATTATTCATTTATAAAGCTTCATTACAAGATCCACTAAATAATTTTCTATAACATTCAAAGTACTAGACATTTTTAGAACACTGAATATCATATCGATTTCTAAAATGATCCTAGTTCGATGTAATATAGAACGTGGTTTTATGAGATAGATTCGAAGTTCGCAGCCATTAGCTCGATATTGTCTTCGGTTTACAGTACTTTACCGATGATAATACCGATTGCCCAGGCCTCACCACGAGGAGGTTGCTGCGAGTGGAGGCCCAAGGCAAGTAGATGGAATCACAAGTTCTACATCTACCCACCTTTCACAATAAACCTTATAAATTACTTAAATCTTAACTATATAATACTACCGATACTAAAATCCCTCGGCGG